TACTTATTACCGAATATAATTGTTTATGTTATTAAAAAGATGTTTACGGGTTTATACTTGTCTATCGTATTCTCTTTGTTATTATGTTATCATACAAGGTTAAAGGGCATATAGTTGTTTGTATGTATTTTGGTTCGTGAATAATGATTATATGTATATGTGTATGTATCTAGTGTTTAGGTTAGCGTCGTTAACTCGCGACAGCCTACAAGTAAAAATAACGGTTTTCCACCTTGCGATCCATTTTTTTCTCAACAGAATATTTTAGAGTAAAATTTTGCATATATGGTTTTTTTCTGTGTGAAAAAGTGGTGGAGAAGACTATTATTTTTATATTTTGACCAACAAATTCATAAATATTTACCCTTAAAAATTATTACAAAAAATAAATAAAACCTACGCTCTTGAACAGTTTTTAATATCAATGAAAATGAGGTTGAAACAGTCGACAATGTTGATGGAGGAACCGACCCGAACGGGGTTTAGTTGCCGCTACAACAACACAAATTCGATTATTCAAATTGTAGGCAACATGCAAATTAAATATAGTTTTTTGGTTTTTATATTGATTATTCACTTCACGGATGTTTTTTCAGAACGAACGCGGCCATTTTAATATGCGCGTAATTGAATTGAATATTTACCAATAGTACTTTCGTTGACGTTTATAGTAAGATCAATTACGTTTCTATTTGATTTTAATATTTTTTCCCTCAGTATATATTGACAGTTTCCTGTGTTTTGGAATTGTTTGGTTGTCGCAGGGCGTTATTTACTTCAACAGAATTAAGTTTAATTATTTCCAACTGCATACATATAGGGATGTGGAAAGAAGTTTAACAAATTCTTCATTAAATTTAATTGTCGCATAAGATCATTTATGATTGAAAATTTAAAAAGGCATGTAAATTTATACCGTAATTCCGAAATTATTGAATAAGAATATCGAAAGATTTAAATAAAACTTCACTGATTTAGCATATTTAAGAGCATATTATGTTTATTTATTGGACTTCTTAAAGCGCTTATATCAATTTTCTTATGCACATTTTTGCCAGCCCTGGTAATAACCAATACCTTCATCATACCATGGTCAAAACTTACCAATAGATGTCTGAGCTTCGTTCATTGCTGCTAACCATTCCACGGCTGTTTGTTGCATAAAATTTGCTGTAGATGTTGTAGAAGCGACGGCTATGGTGCTGCCTGTAGTAGCGGAAGTAGTAGCCAAATCACCTTCAAAGGTGCTGCTATTGTTGTAAACATCTAATTTCCCTATTTAAGATGAAAATCATTAAAACAATGCATTTAAACAGTGCGTTAGTTAACTTAATCTCATGAATTATTATCCATATTTTAAAACAAAGCAAATACAACTTGGAAGAATAAGAACGGAATAAGTTTAGCAATATTTTAAACTAAAATATACGCATTTTTAATTCGGGCGTTTATAAATACTTGACTGTTTGATGTTCGGATTAATCGCAAATAAGCAAGAGATATTATATTATTATTATTATTATTATTATAAACAAGAGATTCCCCTAAATAAACCAAGTGTTTTAGTTAAGCTAAAAGTATCTACCGTAAATTAACTTTCCTTTAAAGCAGTGATGGGCACACCTAAATACTTTTGTACTTAAAGTACCACTTTGGGTACTAAATACACAAATACTTAGTATTTTGAGATGACTAAATACCCAAGTACTATTTACTTAGGTATTTAGGAGCTGCTAAATACCCAAGTACTATTTACTT